TACGAATGAATGGAATCAGAGTGTACCACCGAAATAGTGTTCCTCGTTAGCTGGTTGAATGCACGAGTAAACGAATCAAACGCAACATGGCCATTGCTAAATTAAAAAACAATTATCTAATATTTTTTCACATAAAATTATTGTCACTCACAATTCAACCATCTCAAGAAATAGCCACCTTTAATAACATCGGTAAACAAAATCAAATTAGACTTAAAATTGAATTCCATGAACGGAAATAAATACTGTTACAGCTACTATCAGATGTCATTTTTATCACAAGAGAAATTTTACTATCTGTGATTTAAAAGGTTTCTGACTATCAATAAATAAAACAAATCCAACGTTATCTGCCAGACTTATCGATTGAAAATATTTCGTGTTTACTGATGATTTATCAGTGCCAAATTATCCGAGATCGATGTGAGATAATGAAACTTGAAGAGGTTTTTTTCTGAATAAAACCAGTGAAATTCTAGAAGATACAGAAGTATTTGCGAAAGTTTTGTATTTCTTGAGTAATTACTTCATTGATGTCAAGCATACATAGCGTCATTCTCACTATGAATCAGCGAGTAATTACGCAAGCAAAGCATATACGAACAGCGTTGTTTTGTTTTTCTTTCATGTTGATAGTGACAAAGAATACGCAAAAACAGTGATGTCTTTTGAATCGTTAGCAAACGAATTATTTCTCGAAGTATTTAAATATCTTTCAACATCACATATTTATCATGCATTTCATGGTCTGAATGTTCGTCTCGATGAACTTATTCTTGAATATTTTCGAAATTCTCATCTCGATTTTCGATCGATATCGAAGCTTGATTTCGATATTATTGTTCAAGAATATTTACCAGGTATGCTGGATCGAATAACTTCACTTTGCCTGTCCGATGATGATGATACACCGGGACAAATCGATGATTTTTTTTCACATGGTTTAGAACTTCGTCAATTAGTAAATTTACATTCTCTTCTTCTGAGTAATATTCGATCGGAGAGTATCATGGATAAAATCATCTTAGATTTACCATATTTATCGAATTTGACTCATTTAACTTTCGAACAATGTTATTTTCCATCGCAAAATACTTTAGAGAAAACCTTCACTTATGGAAATTCGATTTGGAGTTTACCACAACTTATTTATCTTTGTTTTAAAGTGAATTATAAATATCGACAATCACATCATATTGTTGATAAATATCGTCGAGATAATGGTATTTGTATTCGTGCATCAGTGACTTCTTCTACATTGGAATGTTTGTCAATAATTGGTGTGGCATACTGCTCTATAGATTTGACGGAGTTACACAAGCATACACCACATCTTCGACGTCTTTCAATTGATGAATTTACAGTTACACAGATCCCTTCCTATGCCATCATGCCGCAACTAACCACATTGATAATATCATTCTGTTTAAATTATACATGGCATCGTCCTTTCCTGGAGATGTTAAAAAATTTACCTACTTTAATTTATTTGAAATTAGATTACGACTATGAATATCCATCTATGGGTGGGGAAGATTGGAAACAACTTATTCGTAATCATTTACCACAACTTCAACGATTAGAATTTCGAATGTTGAGATGTATGTCTGAATACTCATCAGAAGAGGAACAAATTGATAGCATATTAAACTCGTATCGAAGTGATTTTTGGCTTGTTGAACATTCTTGGTTTGTTCAATTCGATTGGATTCCAGGCAAATATTACGGATATTTGTATACTCTACCGTATGCTTTCGATAAATTCCAAATATTGGCAGCGATTCGTTCAAAATCAACCTCTTCATTGGATCTCAATGAACATTCATATCGTTATGTAAAGAGTCTAATGTATAAGCCTCGTGTGGACGGTTTGCCATCCGTGTCGTATATTCAATTTTTCCATATTGAACATCTATCAATTGATTTACCAGTTAGTGCTTATTTTCATTGTTTGGTTCCAAGACTCGATCATCTGATTTCAATCGATGTACTTTCTGATAATTATGATGATCATTGTCAAGAACAATTACAAGATTTACTCGATCGAGCACCACGTTTAACTTCAATACGTATTAGTTGGAAAACGTTGACCAGTTCTCTCCAACAGCTGTTCGAAAGTCAACATTTATCTGTCTATCAATTAGAGCTACTCAACTATGGAGGAACTTTCGATCGAGAACAATGCATAATGCTCAGAAACATTATACCAGCTATTCAATGTCGAGTACTCAATCTTGTTCTAGCAGATCGAACATGTATGCTTGATCTGATCAATACAATGCCTCATCTGCAAGCACTCAATGTTCAATGTCGAATTGGTAAGCGGCATCCATCATCAAAATCAACAGAGAAAAACTCTGCATGGTTACAAGAACAATTATCATCGACAGGTATTCATGCAATAATTACTCAACAAAATCATTTTATTCGATTGTGGATTCGTTAACTATATTCATCTTGCTTCCATTACTGATTAATAAAAGAAAACTTTGTCTTTTTATTCTATGAAAATTATCAATAAGTTATTAATAATAGAAATAGTTTTGTGTTTCATTCAGTTTTTATTCGACAAAATATTACTTCAATTCATTGAAGAAGTTTATAGCAGAAAACTTGCAGTAAATCTAGTTAAATTCGTTGAAAAACAGAGTTTTATTCTTTTATTGTTAATGATTATTTTCATGAAGATAATAGCAAACCATAAGGTGCTGCTCCAATAATTTAGTGTTTATTGATTTGTGTTGGATATTCGAAATAGGCTTTGATTGGTCTAATGACAGAATAAATCATTACACCAGTAAATAGAAGAAATGAAATGAGCCAAAAGATGAAATTAAGTTTGCTTTCACTACGAAGCATGCCAGGAAACTCACGAATGGTTGAACCACAGCGACATAATTTTATATCGTTACTGATCGGGTTTGGTTGTTTAGTCTCTCCCATGGATCCTTTTGATGGAATCGAAATGAATGCCGGTCGAGGACTTGCAATTTCTTTCGATGATGTCATTATCTTCTTCATAGTTATAGGCTGACTAAAATAAGGCGTGCATTTTCTTTAACCCATTGAGTCCGATGGTATAAAAAAGATAGACCTGTTTTATGATTGTTTTTCACAGCATAGTTTATAGAAATTAGTGCTTAATTTTTGTGAATGAAGTATCAAAGAATGTACCAGACTCTCCCAAACTAGAACCAGCAACTACGATCACAATTTCAACCTTCCTTAAGGGTCGGAGTCACGATCGTGACTGCATCTGACATTCTGGTTGAATTCCACTCAAAAAAATAATTTCGGAATCAAAGGAATAGTATAGGATTTATTTCACTTCAGATATTAATCAGTTAAAGTGCATTCGGATAAAGAATTGCTACCTTTTACAACTTCTTGGTGAAAAAAA